CCCGCAGGCTCGAGGCCGCAGAAAGGATCGGCGTGTCCGGGGAGCACTTAGGATCCGTTGGGGGACGCTGACCTTGGTGCGTGGGTGACACATAGAATGACACCTTTACAAGGGCCAACGAGGCCACCGTGTGGAGGACAGACTCCTGGGGATGAGCGGGGCCCGGGTGGCCCCTTAGGGGCTGTCAGCTGGGAAGGTGGTCATGGGGATGGTGACACCCGGACAGACCCAAAGGCACAGGGGGTGCAAGCGTGGGATGGCTCTGGGCTCCCGCCTGTGCAACTAGGTGGAGGGCAGGGCTGTGGGCCGTGAGTGGGGACAGTCGGGGAGCGCCAGGTTTGGGGCTGGGGGTCATGAACTCCGGGGTCAGACGTGCGAGCTTGATGGTCCTTGGCGACATCCAGGTGATGAGTCCGTGTGCTTTCCCGGAACAGAGGATGGCAACGCACAAACGAAACGGCGGCCGCTCCTGACCGCAGCACCCTCACCCCCAGCCCCGGATCATTCTGGAGACTCCGGCAGGGCAGCTTTTGGATTCCTAGAGCATTTCCCGCAACACCGCGGCCATGCCTTCTCTTTGCTTTGTGACCTTGCTACCCTGTTTTGTGGCTAAAACTAGGAAGAGAGAATTCCTGGGGTTGAGGGCAAGCTGCAGATGGTCACGCGAGGGGGTGATGCACTGCACCCAGGAGGAGCTGAAAGGCCCAAGTGGAACAGACAGTAAACAGCGGGCACCAAGCCCCAGGTCCTGCACCCTCACTCTTCCCGGGAAGTATGCTGGGCCGGGCTCTCTGCAAAGACTCAGGGTGGGTCTGTGTCCCACTGAAGGGACACCTTCCCATGGAGAGGGGGGTCCGTCTCCCTCCTTATGGAGCAAATGTGGGCAGACAGACCGGTCAGCGAGGATAGAGCTGGGGGCTTGGTGCCAAGGCAGTCTGGATGTGGGGTGCCTGCCCTCAAGTGTTGTCTGGATGCCAGCAGCCTGCACCTGGGACTGTAGGACCCCGGGAAGCCACAGGTCCCGGCTCAGGGGGAAGAGGCCTCAGGTCCATGGGTACCAGGGCTCGGTGGGGAGGGGTGCTCCCAGCCAGCTCGCTGTGCGGGTCACCCAGGTAATTCTGCTACCTGCAGCACACGCAGGTCAGATCATTGGCTGTTGTTCCAGGACTAGGACCTCCTGATGGTGGGGGCGCTCAAGCCAGATGCAAACACCCACAAGAGGAAGCAGCCAGTGGCCCAGCGGTCTCCCCCTTTCTATTGGAATTTGCTGCACATACAAGAACACGCTCACACTTTGTTGGACGTTGAGGGGGTGACTCCTTTTCACGGGCAGAATTAGCTGCTACCAGCTGTTCTCTAAGATACAACGGAAGTACCTAAAACAAGGTTCTCAAAATGCAAATCCTTAGAAGATCGGACGACACTCCAGCTGTTTCATAACTTTAAGATGACTCTTCCTCACAAATCAGAACATATCATTATTTGATCAATAAAGTAAGGGATTGTTCCAGACCACGTGCCCTAAGAAACACCTTGCTTACTAAGTTCTCCCCTCTCTCTGGCTGCTCATCTTTTTTTTTTTGTCCATTCTCTCCATCTAAGCTTTACAAAAAAATGCTACAACCGCTTGCTTTGTTGTTTTTTTTGTTTTGTTTTGTTTTGTTTTTGCTGTCCGCGGGCCTCTCACCGCTGTGGCCTCTCCCGTGGCGGAGCACAGGCTCCGGACGCGCAGGCTCAGCGGCCATGGCTCACGGGCCCAGCCGCTCCGCGGCACGTGGGATCTTCGCGGGACCGGGGCGCGAACCCGCGTCCCCTGCATCGGCAGGCGGACTCCCAACCACTGCGCCACCAGGGAAGCCCAGCTTTGTTGCTTTTAAACAAACCAACCAACCCTTGTGAAAGCTTCTGATATCTCAGTATCTTGTTTATTTTCAATGTTTGGGTCACATTTAAAATAATCCAAACATTTCACAGGGTCTGAACTACACGGGAATTACAACCGTTCTCAAAATATACCAAGTGTGTCCACTACTTGGAACGGGCAGTCTGAGCAGAGGGCCAGCAATGGAAAAACACAGCTCGTGGCAACTTTTATTTGTCGTTATACAAACTAACGGGACACGAAATACACGTGACCTCTCAGCCTTGATGCATTTCATAATCCAACGGGAAAGTCACTGACGCGGCCCTGAGCTGGGAGCCTCGAGCTCTGGCCGCTGTGACTGTGAAGTCCGTGCATCTGCCTCCCGGGCCCCGAATCCTCCAAGGCGGGTCCCTGTCGGTCACAGTGGAGCGGCACCCGGCACAAGGAACACATCCCACTCGGGGCCCCCGTCCCCTCCTTGCCTCAGGGACACGCAATCCCGGGGGGCCTGCTCTGCAAGGCTCACACCGTCAGGTGGCACAGAACGACACAAACTCACCGGCCAAAACCAAGCATCTTCTGTTTATTAATTTAGAATAACCCCGAGGGATTCACAGAGCTCAGTGGTCACAACGGCTCCATCTAATTTCCTCCTATGGATACAGCTGTGCACTGGGATCAGTTAAAAAAAAGTAAATCTTTTCCATCAGGAAACAGCGATAGAGGTGCAGAACAGTCTACAGCTGATAACTCTTTTGGCTGAGTAGTACTTTTTCTTATTTTTTGCTTCCCAGTTTCTTATATGCAAATTCATAGCAACTGTTTTAAGACAACACGAACCTATTTTGCCTCAGACAGTGACCCTATTAGACCAAATATTTCTACAGAAAACTCAGGAGTCAATTTGATTTTTATTTAGAGTTCTCACTTATTGTAACAGGAAGTATGATTAAGCATCTTTGTAGTTAAATAAACGGCGGGAATTACACTGGGGCCACACAACCTAAATCAGGTTCTTTAAAGACATTTGATGCGTTCTTACTCTAAGCATAAAAACAACTTCTCTTAAAAAAATAAAACTGTGATTTAAAAGGCCTTTGTTTCATAGGGGAGAGGAATAAAAGATAAATGCTAGCGGGTGTGCAATCATGTTTGGATTTTTTACTTGGTCATTCATCCCTTACATTCTGTAAATGCAAAAGGAAACGGTCAGCGATTTTTAAGAAAATACCTTAGGAAACTTGGCGCTTTTGACGATTCCACGGATACCTGGACCACTTACATTTGGAGAACAGAGACAATACTTAGAAAGTATATCACCCCCAGCCCAAGTTCATTTGATGAAACTATTATGTATAAAGCAGTTAATTATATACATAAATAACATAAAAATAATTATCATAAATTAAAAGTCAAACAATCCCCCACTACCACTTCAGAGGTGCGAGTCGTCGGGAGTTACCGGTGAGCTGGGGGTGGAGGGTGAATCCTGAAGCCCCTTTCACATGCTGCGTGGGTGATGAACTTAGTTCACGAAAGCATGTATTGCACAAATCAAAGCCTAGCCCCCTCCTCAAAATCTTGCAATTTGGAATGAAGCGAAGTGCTGAGAACGTTGCATTTTGCATAACAGGTTGTCTGTAGCCTCACTAGCAGCATAAGGTTATTCTGCCTCATTTATCCACTACTGATGGTCTCCCAAACAACGCAGGATCGCGGACAAATATTGATCAGGACAAAGTAAGGCAAACGTATCATTTCATCCTGGACAGCGTTAAAGCATCAGGAGGGTGGAAATCAAGCCTCTCTGCCCGCCTCTTTGTTTCCCTGGCTGCGCCGTGGGAGGGCTGGCTGCTGGCTGCCACCTTGGTGGTCCAGAGCCTCACCTGCCACTTCTGAAACGGGCGCACACGTGTGAAAGCGCGTCCCCCGGAGGGGCAGGGCTCCCGTCGCTCAGCACATTTATTCACTCATTCATTAGGGGCACTGACGCTTCTACTGGTCAGCGAACAGCCTTTCTGCTTTCATACTACTTGGCAGGAAATAGCACTGTCTTCGTATTTCAGAAAAACCTACACCTTTCTTGGGTAAAGAACCAAGCTCATTCAACATTTTTATAGAAAACTGGTCTTGAAACACACCAACCTTTGGACTTAAAGTTTAAACAGAAAAAAGACATGAATTTCTCCCCTGTTCTCTAGTGCGGGGGATTCTGGCTGCGCCTCAGCCATAATAAATACATTTGGATGGCAGAGAATCCTGAGGCACAACCCCAAGGAGCCTCCAGAGGGGCCAGCGCGAGGCTCACGGCCCCTGCATCGGGGCAGCCGTGTAGAGCTGGACGTGGACCCACAGTCCCACAGTGCAAACGACTTCTGTGTGTTAAAGGAAAATAGAGAACAACGTGGCCCCTGCAGTCTCGATCACACGAGGTATGCTCGAGGTAAAGTTTAAAAAGAAAAAAAAAAGGAAAGAGCCATACTGAAAATCGATTCACGAATTCTATCACTAGGATGCCTCGGTCCGCGACCTCACGTGACCCCCTTGCCCGAGAGGAACTCGTGAAGGCCAGAGGAGGGGCGTCTGCTCCCACAGGGCATCTTCCCACATGGTTTCAGCCCAAAGGTGCAGAACGAATTCGACTCAACTCAAATTTCAAAGAGAGTAAATGTTACTTGAACTCCTATCTGCTCATTAGCAAAAAAGTGCAGGAGCCACAGGAGAAAACCGGCTACATTTTCACACAGTAGCGGAGCCCTAAAGGGAAAAACGAAACAAGCCACTTACGTCCCTAGTGACATACGGGTCTTACCGTGCTGCTCCTCTCTGGGTTTCCTTTTCCCAAACCCTGCGCCCACCTGCGTTCTGGGAGGGAAGCCTGGGGGCCTGGCCTTGCCGGGCAGAGCATATGGGGCCTCAGGGGGACCTGCTCGGGGTCACTTCTGAGCTCAGCTGACAGACTGTGATGGTTGTTGGTGAATTTGGAGACAATGCTGCAAAAGCTAAGTCAACCTTACTGATACTGCAACGTACGGTGTTTTGTTTTTTTGTTTGGTATCCAGCAAACAAATCTCAAATAAAAACAGAACCAGACCACCCGTCTGTGGTTCTCTCCCCCAGGTCCCCTCAGGGTGCCTCAGTAGCTGTACATCTGCGGCTGCTGCTCGGCCGGCACCGGCGGCTGGGCGGCCTGTGGGGCGGGGGCCGGGGCCGGCAGCACGTCTGTCTGGGGCACCGCCCGCCAGGTGAGCGGCGGCTGCTCGCCAAGCTGGCTCCCCAGGGGCGTGATGGAGTTGACCAGAGTGGTCAGGTTGATGAAGTGGGCCACCGACTGCGGATTCGAGGCTTCCGGCTGGGGGTGGATCTGGAGGTCGTTCTGGCGGTTGTGCAGCATGGCAGAGCCGCTGACGGTGTCAAAGGTCACGGTCAGGATGGAGTTGTCCAGCTGCAGCTGGCGTTCCGGGGTGGTCAGGTGCCCGACAGCCACCGGCTGGAGGTTGGTAAACTGAGTCCCGGCCGCGGTGGTGATGGGGGTCACGGTGATGTTGGTCAGGCCGACGGAGCTCGACGGGGTGGTCACATTGGGGTCGCCCAGCGTCACCACCACCTGGAAGAGTCACGCACAACACGGGACCGTTAGCTCCTGCAGAATCGAGAACACGAGCAGCTTCCTGTGCTGTACTTTGTCATGGAGGCCATCTCGTGACGCTGGAATCATCACACTCCTGGCCCAAAGGAAGGAGTTAAAACACCTGCTGCTGAGAGATTAAACCAAGCTCATTTTTCCTGGAAAAAGAATTCTAGTGAAAGAGAGAAACAAGATACAGACACCATCATCGAAGCCATCAGCTGGAACTGAAAATCAAAGGATTTCAGAAGCTATAGGAAAAAACCAGAAGAAAGTAATGAGAAAAACAGCACATTCTTCACTGTCTCTCAACTTCTGTGAGGTGATGATGGTAAATGGAAATCCCAACTGTAAAGGTCAGAAGGGCAGTGAACCAATGTGCAGTGCCAGAGCTAATAAATGAAAAAGAAAGTAATGCTCTTCCCCACAGACAGGGATGAAACGCAGGAACGTCTGCAACCAGGATGACCAGGGCCAGTCAAGGGAGGGAGGGGTGTGGCGTCCGACACACGCCGACCAGGAGCTGGGGGCCTCGAAACCCCAGCTTCCCCCCAGGGGAAGCTTTGGTTAAAAGCAGCAGACTGGCCGGCCGCACGCCCTGGCGTGCAGGGTCGGGCCCTCCCTGACTGGCCGGCACGCTCAGGCCATTGAGCACCTCCCCAAACTAGACGCAGCCCCGTTTCCCAACCCGGGAGGATGGTGGTGACTTCTGGGTCTAAGCTGGGAAATGCTCACGGGGAAACGGGGCACGTGCTGACCACGGCCAGAGGCCAAGCCCCCCACGCCCGGGGCCCCCAGCTCCGCACGAGGAGCGGCGACCTGCTGGATGCTCTGCACGGCAGAGTTGGTCTCGTCCCCGACGCCGGCCGAGAACGTGGCCTCCTTCTCCGAGAACTCGCTGAAGGCGGCCTCCTCGGGCCCCGTGGCCCCGGCCTCGTCCTCTGGCTTCTGCTTCCTCTTGTGAGTCCTCCTGGCGGCTTTCACGTGCTTCCCTTCCGCCAGATCCTCCTGCCCCAGGCTCAGCTCAGGCTGCAGGAAGAGAAGGCGCGACAACGGCAGGTCAACGGGCCGTGTCCCCGAAGCGGCCAGCGCGTCCCGGCCCTGTTCCTGGACCCCAGCTGACCAGGCTTGTCTGCTAACTTGCACTTCTGAGGACGGGGGCAAGTTCCTGTTGGTTTCAGTTGCTTTTCTTTCAGGTGATGGATTTTAGATACCGGTCATATTTTTAAAAGCCACACTTTGTGCTGAAATAGAAACATCTCTAAAAGCAGATTTTTTTGAGCCACTGTTTCAGCCCTGTTGAGCTCAGTCTGAGGCTGAAAAATGCTTTCACATCAGGACTCTCATCCCCTGGCTGAAACAAATTCACTGCAGACACGATCTTGGATCAAAATGAGGCTGACCGCAAGAACTGTACGGTCACCTTTTCTGGAGACAGAAAACGGGGCCCGGCGGTAATGGCGACCCCAGACGGGTGCCCTGCACACGTCTTCTTGAGCTGCTAAGTGTGGCCTGTTTTGCGACCTACAGCTGGGCTGGCCCAGCATCACGGAGGCCGCTGAACCATGGTGGCCAGCAAGGCTCTCCTCCCTGGCCACCCACCACCCCTCCTGGTCCTTGGTGCCATCCGTGAGACTTGCTCCCACCCAGCGGCAGGCAGACCCTGAGGAGGGGTTGCCCTGGCCAGGGGTGGGCGTGGTCCTGGCCCTCCGGGGCTGCCGAGGCGTGGGGCACGGCGGCGCAGTACAACCCGGCCGCTGAGCACCGCGCCCATAGCTCCATTGCAAAACACAGAGGTAGAAACGTGATTTTAAAATAACCGAGAGCATGACACGTTTCCTTTAAAATAAGAGAAGCTGGGCTTCCCTGGTGGCGCAGTGGTTGAGGGTCCGCCTGCCGACGCAGGGGACGCGGGTTCGTGCCCCGGTCCGGGAGGATCCCGCGTGCCGCGGAGCGGCTGGGCCCGTGAGCCGTGGCCGCTGAGCCTGCGCGTCCGGAGCCTGTGCTCCGCGACGGGAGGGGCCACAGCAGTGAGAGGCCCACGGACCGCAAAAAAAAAAAAAAATAAGAGAAGCTGGGCTTCCCTGGTGGCGCAGTGGTTGAGGGTCCGCCTGCCGACGCAGGGGACGCGGGTTCGTGCCCCGGTCCGGGAGGATCCCGCGTGCCGCGGAGCGGCTGGGCCCGTGAGCCGTGGCCGCTGAGCCTGCGCGTCCGGAGCCTGTGCTCCGCGACGGGAGGGGCCACAGCAGTGAGAGGCCCACGGACCGCAAAAAAAAAAAAAAATAAGAGAAGCTGGGCTTCCCTGGTGGCGCAGTGGTTGAGGGTCCGCCTGCCGACGCAGGGGACGCGGGTTCGTGCCCCGGTCCGGGAGGATCCCGCGTGCCGCGGAGCGGCTGGGCCCGTGAGCCGTGGCCGCTGAGCCTGCGCGTCCGGAGCCTGTGCTCCGCGACGGGAGGGGCCACAGCAGTGAGAGGCCCACGGACCGCAAAAAAAAAAAAAAATAAGAGAAGCTGGGCTTCCCTGGTGGCGCAGTGGTTGAGGGTCCGCCTGCCGACGCAGGGGACGCGGGTTCGTGCCCCGGTCCGGGAGGATCCCGCGTGCCGCGGAGCGGCTGGGCCCGTGAGCCGTGGCCGCTGAGCCTGCGCGTCCGGAGCCTGTGCTCCGCGACGGGAGGGGCCACAGCAGTGAGAGGCCCACGGACCGCAAAAAAAAAAAAAAATAAGAGAAGCTGGGCTTCCCTGGTGGCGCAGTGGTTGAGGGTCCGCCTGCCGACGCAGGGGACGCGGGTTCGTGCCCCGGTCCGGGAGGATCCCGCGTGCCGCGGAGCGGCTGGGCCCGTGAGCCGTGGCCGCTGAGCCTGCGCGTCCGGAGCCTGTGCTCCGCGACGGGAGGGGCCACAGCAGTGAGAGGCCCACGGACCGCAAAAAAAAAAAAAAATAAGAGAAGCTCTTTATATAAAGGTACTGACTAAAAGTTCCTTTTAAAAGTAAGTTCACCTAATACGTTGAAAGTTATTTTGCTTCTAATAATCTAACTGTGCTAATAAGCTTTTCTGGAAACCACCTGTGATGGTTAAGTTTAAGTGTCAACGTGGCTGGGCTCGGGGACCCGGCTGGGTGGCTGAACACCAGTCTAGAGGCTGCCGTGAAGGTATTTTTCAGACGTGATTAACACTGAAATCGGTGGGTACTGAGTCATGCAGAGCACCCTCTGCAACGTGCGTGGGCCTCGTCCCATCGGGCAAAGGCCTCGAGAGAAAAGCCTGAAGCTCCCAGAGGCAGAGGGAACTCTGTCTCCAGATGGACCTCGGGCACAGCATCAACTCCTCTCCTGGGTCTCCAGCCTCCGGCCCGTCCTGAAAGTTCTGGACTTGCCAGCTCCACACTCGTGGGTGCCAAGTCCTTAAAATAAATCTAATTCTCTCTGTACACACACGTACGCACGTGTACACACGCTCTCTATTGACTGTTTTCTCTGGGGAACTGTGACTTAAGAAACCATCTATTCTCTAAAAGGAGATATGTCAGGATTCAGAAAACTGAAATTCTAGAAACTTTTACAGAAACTAAAAGGCTCCTGGGGTGACGACGAACCAATAAAACAGAGGCAATCGAGCGTGAAACGTGGGGTTTCTTCCCAAAGGCTGCTCAGGACACCTGCCAGGGCCCCTCGGGTGAGACGTCCCGGGCCCCGCGTGCACAGGGCTCACCTGGACGATACCGATGGAGGAGGCGTCGATGGTGGTGGTCTCGGGGAGGTGGTCCAGGTCGTCGATCCTCACGGCCAGGACCTAGGAGTGACCACAGGGCGGTGAGCCCGGGACCCCACGCCCAAAGGCCCAGGCTCAGGTCAGGTGGGACCCAGACACGTGCTGACAGGCCACCACCCTCGAAGACTCCCACGCCCTCACGGGCCCTGCTCGGGACTTGAAAACCTGGATTCCACGGTCCCGTCCGGGCTCTCCTTCCCTCCTCCCAGGCCCCCTCTCTTCAATTTTCTGCTGTGCTCTCACACACGGGGGTGTAACCTCGCCCCTGTCCGTGTGTCACCGCACTGTCCACCGCTCGAGGGTGGAGACTATTCCTTCCCTTTTAGTTGAGTGAAAACACTAACGTGCACAGTGCATAATGCATAGTGCATTCTCACTCAGTCTTGTTCTTTCAAACTGAGAGCGGAGCGGGATAAGATACAGGAAACCTGTCCTACAAGGAACCATCGAGAATGAGACATTTACACTGTACACACGTGAATTTTCCACATGAAAAGTAGAGAAGTCCGGGTAGTTTCGTTGGTCATTTCTGATGAAGTGTGCACCTGTGGGCCGCACTGGCCGGTCCCCAGCACGTAGACCCTCACGCCACGACACACGCCCGGGGTCCACCCGGTCTTCCCTGAACCTGACCCACACACCTGCTGATGCCGGCTGTACCGTGACTGTGATCACTTAAGTGAACAAATCACAGGTGGGGCGACGGACCCTGAGCGCAGAGAGAACGGAATCCCTGGGAGGGAGGTGTGGAAATGGGTAGTTGCTGACGAAGGGAAGTGCTGTGCAAAGACTATACGAGAGCAGGGAAACCAGGAAAGTATCTGCACGGGCTCTTCAGCCAAATGGCTCTGCAAGCATCTTTACGTTCTTTGTCCAAAAAAATTAAGAACAAAATTATAGGCTATACATAGCGGGTGTGGCTCAGTTAAGCAGAATGACGGGGAGCTACATTTCCAGACTTAGGTTCCAAGACCAGGGCTGGGCCTTCTCTGAAAGGACGGCCAGCAAGGAGGTCGTGGTCATGTGTGTTTCAACGTAAATGCTGACGTGGCGCTGAGGACCCAAGTGTGACTGTGATGCTGCAAAGCTGAGTCACAGCAGCCAGATGCCACCGTCCTCTCCCACCCTCGCCATCACCACCTCCATCGCTGTCACCACCGTCACTGTCACCACCACCTCCACCACTGTCACCACCACCATCACCTCCAGCACTGTCACTGTCACCACCACCTCCATCATCATCAACGACGACATCATCAGCGCCCCAGTCACACGGTCTGGAAGCTCATGCCACGAAGAACAACCACAGAAGCATTTGCTGGCTTTGCTCTTATTCGGAGAGAAGACCACGCACGCAAAGTACTTTGTGTGCTTGAATTTTTTTGAATGTAACATTCACTCAAAGCAGAGGGAAAGACCATACCTTGAAGTAATAAAATCGCATCAATTCTGAAAGGTCTCCAATACGCTTAACACCTTAGCCGGCCTCCACGGGACCCCTGCTCCCGAGCCTGTGCCCAGCACTGCGTGGCCCCCTGCCCCGCACCCCTGCACAGCCGGGCCCCAGGGTGGCACCCACACGGCAGCAGAGCCCTCCCTTGGCCTCACTCCAACTATTCCTCTCTGTCTGACTTGTCTGTGTCCTACCCCTCCCCTCTGTCTCCACCCTAGACGGTCGGTCCAGGAGGACGGGGCGCACCCTGTCCGGCCGGTCACCAGCGCTCATCCCCGCAGGCACTTAACTGTATCTGTTTGAGCAACACAGAAGGAAGTGACAGAGAAACATCAGAGGATCAACGGGGGAAGAGGCTGAAGGCTTCAGAGACAAAAGGGACTGAGAACAGAGCCCCGACAGGAGAGCCCTCTGTCTGCTGGCGTCCCCTCCAGAGCGCTGTGCCGCCGGCATGGTGGGCGTGAGAGGAGGAGGTGCAAAGAGGTGGCCGCACAGAGGGGCGGGCTAGGAAGTGACCGTCAACCAGACGGAAGCGTCTGCCGAGCTGCTCCGCGCCCGCAAGGCCTCCCGCACCCAGCAACGTGCATCACACAACCCGTCTGCAAAAACTGCCGTGCGTGCTGTTAGCACGTGCAGCTACAAACACGCACACATCACCAAGAAAGCACTCCCACACGTCACGAGCCCCCGGGGGAGCCTGCAGCGCCGGCCCTGGGTCCTCCAAGACCTGGAGGGCGCTGTCTGCCGACACTGGGCAGCGGGTGGATGCTGACACTTCGGGCTCCTGCTCTCCCAACTTTGTTTTTCTAGGTGGAAACGCTAGCTGGCCACTAGGTGGAAAAGGCCCGGAATGAGGACAGCGAAGCTGATGGAGCCCCCAGCTCCTCGGGGGCCCCAGAGCTCAGGGTCAAGGTAACGCAGAAAAAGACGCACTTACCATCCAAATGAGGCAGAGGGTGCTTTTATAATTGCGAAAGTTACCCATGTTCACTAGAGAAAATTATTGAAAATGGAGAACAAGAGAAGAAATAACCAAAACTTCGACACCAGGAGAAGACCACTGTGTAATGTTTTCGTTCTTTCTCGTTTCGCCCACCCCATTTATATTACATACGTGAGTATCCCATAAACACACACAACGTGAATGACACTGTATACACACGCGGTACACGCACGGTGTGTACGGCTTTCTTACAGCAAACACTCACCCTTTCACTCAGGGTTCTCTGCAAACACGTTACATTCGGGCACATCACTAAACTACCACTAACTTAATCACATTCCTCTTGCTGGACGTTGAAGGGTCCAAGTAGTCATTTATAAATGGAGGGATGGTCACGCTACCCCCCAGGAGGACACGCCATGGCCGGGCGCCCGGCTCACGCCCGCTGCACAGGCATTTTGAATCTAAGAACCTCCTCTAATTTAACGGAGGAAGGACGGCACCTCTACTGTTAAAGGTTTTCTCCTGTGTCTTAACCACAGGTGTTTCCTTTCATGAATCTCCGTGGACACACTGGGTTCTTTGTGTTCTCGTGGAATGCACATTACCTTTAATGTTAACAGTTTCTATCTGTTAACGGTGGTAATATCTTACCACATTTTTTCTGTTTTCCCTTTGACCTACAGAAGTTCTAAATGTGATGCCGCTTAGTCAAATCGTTTGTTCGAGACTCCTCTCACCGCTTTTGCGCTCAGAAAGTTTCCACCTTTCAGGGATATAGCTATTTCCCCGTGCTTTCTCCTAGCTTTGTTTTTCAGTTTACTTCTTTTTAAAAGGCATTAAATTCTTCAGTGCGCTGGGCCTGCCTTTAGAACCAGCCCACGGGTGAGCCAGGGTCTATCTGCCTCAATATAGCTTCTCCCCCTCGGTCCCCAGGGCCACCTTCTAATCAGCCCCTAACACCACACGGAGGCTCCCGTCCTGAATCTTTTTTAGTTGCCCAAAGGGAGGAAAGGGGGAGGGGTCAGGGTCGTACTCCCATCTCGCTACCAGCGAGGATGTAATTTATAACCTCAGCAAAAAACACGTTCCAGGCTCTTCTGTTCCCTCACTCGTTCAGCGCCGTCGGTGCGCAGGTGGAGGGGAGTTGCCAGACCCAGGCCCCGCCTGGAGGAACCACGGGCCTGCGCGGGGGGGCAGGGATGGTGAGCCAGCGCGGCGGGGTCTCTGGGCAGGAGCCGCCACCGGGCAGAGGGCAGAGGGGCCGGGCCTGCGCGGGGAGGCGGGGGGAGGCAGGCAGAGGGTCGCCCGCCCAGGCTCACCTCGGGGTGCTTGCGCCGCATGTGTCTGCTCATGGAAGCCCTGGTGGACACCTTGGTCCCGCACAGCTGGCAGCTCTGGGCCTCTACCTTGTCGTGGGTGAGCTGCACGTGTTTCTGCAGCATGTACTCGGTGACATACTTCTTGTCGCACACGGAGCATGTCCACTGCTTGCCCACTTCCCACACGCACGGGGCACAAGAGAAAGCACGGGTCGTGAGCGGGCTCAGCCTCTGCACGTGCGGCCAGGGTCGCCGGCCGGGTCACCCACCCGGTGGTCAGGCCGCGGGACAGGCAGCACGGCCTCCTCCCCTCCTGGAGCCCAGTCACTACTCCAATGTCCGAAAATTCAAGTTTCGGACAGTGTCCGAAAATTTTGATGGGCTGAGGTTTTGGGGGCAAGGGGCCATCGTTAAGGCAGAACAGCACCAAAACATCTGAAAAAGCCTACCAACAGCATCACAGCCATGCCATCCCCACCGCGCACGCTCCAATGGCCTCAGCGGAGACCGCGGCGGGCGGCCGGCCGGTCCCCAGGTGCCCCGCTTACCCGTGTGGATGAGCTTGTGCGTCTCCATCGTGTTTCTCTCACTGAAAGTTTTTCCGCACAGTTCGCACATGAAATCTTTAATCCCTGCAGAAAAAGGCACACTTAATTTCACGTTTCACGAGTGTTTTAACTACACACAGAAGCTGTCTCGTCCTCGACACATTTCTGTATTTACAGAAGCTGCACGGGAGGTAAATTACCAGGAGAGAGCAGACAGTAAGTGTTCATTCCCACACGCGACCGGCACACCGTGGCTTGAAAGCTACCCTATGGCTGGCACCCAGGCGAGCTCCTTCCGCAGAAGGGGTGACAAGGACAGTTTCAGCCCGAGGCCCTCGGACTGCCACAGAGTCTCAGGAGAATCCGATTCAATGAGCTTACTCTGCACAGCTCGTGACCAGGGAAGGCAGGGCCACGTTTATGACACGTTTAAGGCTTCCACCCACTTCATTCCAGTCCTGAGTGTTCAGATCAGTCACTCGGTCTGGGGTGACCCCCTTGCCTGCCTGCAAGCTGGCAAGGAAGCACCGAGGCATCGTACTGTTTCTCTCCCCAAACTGACAAGAAAGTGGATCCTTAGAATGCCTTCTAAATAAAGGTTTCCCCCCAAATGGAAAACTAGCTAAGTGATTTTCAGGGTCCACTCATCTTGGGCTTATCTTGGCCCTATATTCGGCGAACCCCACGTAGGCTCACTGTGGCTTTTGGAGGCCAGAGGCCACTACAGCCCGGCAGGTGCAGTGTTGTGAGACCCGAGAGGTGGTGCAGGACCCAGTCCCAGGGGGTGAACGCTTCCCAGAAAAGGGGAGGTGAAACGGATGAGCTTCCCCAAGAAGAGAAGGGCAGCATGCTTTTGTGAAAGCCCAGTGCCCTGGGGGCTGGCACTCCAGGGGGACCCAAAGCAGACCTGCGTGGTGGCCTGGACAGCCCTGGGGGCAGTGAGAGAGGTGGGCGCACAGGTGAGCTGGGCCAGGCAGTGGCAGGACTCGGGTGCGTTTTAGGGAGAACACGGAACCAACCAGAGGCTCCTACCAGAAACTTGAGACACAACTCCATCACCCAGGGATAACCGTTTCTCACTCCGCTGTCGATCTTAATCCTCTTTTACACACACGTTCTTCCATACACAAATGTTTTATAAGACAATGAACTCATTTGTGGTAGAGGCTGGTTTCTCTCCCACTGGACTATGAATGTCTGCGTAACTTAACATACGATTCCATCACTTGCAGGGGCGCACTGTCCCTCATGGTGAACACACCATAATTTAGCCACTGCCCTACTGATGGACACTTAAGATGTGGCCCAGTCTCCTGTCCAGACGACAGGATGACCGGCGTGTACACACGGCCCGGGCCCTCGTCTGACGGTTTCTCCCTCACACGCTCCTGCAGGGCGACGGCTGAGTGGATGGGAAGGCGTTGAGGACAGCTAGCTGGGCGGTAACCCGAGCTCCATGAGGGCGCACAAGGATGGAGGGCGCTTGCGGGGACCAGGAGCTTCTGAGAAACCGGCCACCTAAGCAACCCACCTCCGAGAGCTTGGTCAGGAAGCCTGGGGCCTGCTGGGAGCTGAAGACCGCGAGGGGCAGCGGCGGCTCTTCCGCGAGCTGCGCCTGCACCGCTGGCCTGGTCCGCCTCCGCGAGAGCGCCGCGGCCGGGGGCTGACTCACCCGTGTGCCGCTTGTAGTGTTTGAGCATGTTGACCTTCTGCGCGAACTTGCGGTGGCACTCCCTGCACTCGTACTCCTTGATGCCCTTGTGCAGCTTCATGTGGTGGCGCAGCGCGTGCTTGGTCTTCATGCCTGCGGGGCGGGACGGAGCGGAGCGGGTCTTCGGGGGCCCCCGCCCCCCACAACGCCCGCCCCAGCCCTGCCACGGACCCCAGCGGCGCACGCACCCCGCCCCCTCGCCCCGGCAGACACAGGTCTGGGTGAGAGCAAAGAGGGACAGGGCGCGGGGGCTCGTCTCCGAGACGACCCCCTCCACCCGCGGTGAGGCGGGCCGTGAGTCCTCGGAGGCCACTTCCAGACAGCCCGCCTCGGCAGGCGGCCGCCCAGCCTGCACGGTCAGCGCTCCCAACAACAGGAGCTGCGGGTAGCCGTGCAAATCTAACCGCTGTGACCCAACGGACTCATCTGGTAGGCGGCTCCAAGTCTCCTGAAGTACGCTGTTGATCTTGGTGATGTAAGTGTTAATTAAGATTAGATACTTAAAGGTCCAAACACAGACTTTCCGTCTCCCTTCAGGTTAATGTAACAAAGTCAACACTTGGCGGAAAGGAGCGAAATATGCTAAAACCTCCCTAACTCAGGCGCTGAAGAAGGGAAGACCCTGGTTTAGGGTTTGAATCAGTGGTGGAGGGTCTTAGGCCAGGAGACCCACCAGGTGAGCAGTGCTGGACAGGAAGGCAGAGCTGCAGGGTCTGTGGGCAAAGGGCGCCGGGGGTGGGGGGCGGCCTTAGCATCTCATGGTGCGTGAAGTGTCCTCGGCTACTAGTGCTATACGTGGAAACCCACCAGGCACGGCACGCGGGTCTCTGCTGCCAGGTGACGGGGACTCCCGTTAGTTCTGCAGCCTCCCATTTGAATAAGACCTGATCAGGTCCAGAATTTGGGGGGAAAATGTAAAGTACGGATAATAATAAGGGCATTTCCTACAGCATCATCACTTGGAATGATAAAAGACTGCACACCAAAAACCCCTGAAGATATAAATTAAAGGGTCTGGTTGTAGGAATCCACAGGATGGAATCCTATCAAGGTTTTGAGAGGAAAATTAGGGCAATATTTGCCTGATAGGAAAAGATCACCAAGATGGATATGGAAGTAAATAAAAAGGTATGGAAAGAACAGGTAAGCACAAGCATCTGCTTGTATGTGCCAGTGATCATAATATGAAAGTAAAATGACCACTGATGGTTTAGGATTATGGAAAATAAATACGGTAAAACCCAACTGTTAACACCCCTATTGTATTTAAAGTATTCAGAAGTCATGAAAGAAATCATGAAACTAAACATTAAATACACTCTTCAGATATAAAAATGTATGTAACACAAGATGTGCCACTGACCTCAGCGCCCACCCCGGGCACCCCTCCCTGACCTGCCAGGGCTCACTGAACAGCACTCAGGTCTCAGGTGTGGTTGCCCCCTGCCCAGCTGGGGGGACGGCCCAACACACCTGTCTACCTACAACCCTTCCCACCTCTAACTGGCTCTAGCTCTGTGGGAAAGGGGCTGGAATTGCTGCAGCAAAGACGGGGGCTGCAGCTGGAGCTCCAGCCAGCGCGGCCAGCGCTAAGACACGCGTAGAAACTTCTAGAAATGTGCGTGCACAACAGTCAAATGCTGCTTTCGAAGAGTGCAACTGAGGTCCCAGGTGGGAATAACTTTACTTTGCATATCCATTCGTGTAAAAAAATTTTTTTTTTTGGTTAGGTGACTGGGTTACTTTTTCAATAAAACAATCTACACGCTGCACACAGTTACTCTGGAGAACAGACAAGAAACTGTCACCTGTGCAGAGAGGGACTGGGGGCCAGGAGTGGGGGACTGTGCACTTTCTGCTTTTCTCTGCAGTTCTTTTAGCCTTCTGCGTGTAATCTTATTTTATGAGTCTAACAGGGGTTTATCCAGTGAGTGGAATTACGGGGCATTTGTGTTTTCTTCGTACTTTCCTAAAAATCACATAAAGGAAGAAAGTAAAAACTTGATGGAATATTAAATTTTTAAAAAGACCCTCACAGCAAGGCAGATGAACTTGATCAGTCCCATATCTGAGGAGGGTGGCACTGCCGCTCTCCACCACACAGAACACTGGCGGCCACTTGAAAGCACCAAAGATCCGCTGCCCCAAGTCTTCCTGACAGTTCTGGTTTGTTTTCAAACAGAAATGAGTTAAAATTTTACCATGTACTGCGATTACCTTTTTCTTCCTCATTCCACTTACTGATGTGAGACATTTTACTAATGGATTTATTATCATTTAACTCATTTCACCTGACTCAAATAAAGGTCACAGTCATCACTGATAACAGTACACCACTGTGTTAATGCATAGCTGGTCCTAGTTAGTAGTTCCAGTCGGCAGTCGAGGATTTTGCACCTATACTCAGGCCCCATGAGGACTCTCAGATTATTCTGCACTTCAAAGAATTATGTGTTGCACTGTTTCCCTACTTTTAAAATGATTTGCTTGTGCTTTGATTTTACCCCATCTCCCTGCCTTTGGACGGCTTTATTTTTCTCGCTGATCCTCTTTGGGTCTTATCTTTCTTGAGTAAATGACTCGGGTCTGGGCGACCGCCCC